TTAGAATGCATATAAGGATCATAAGAACCCTAATAGTGTTTGTAAGATGAAATTCGAGGGTTTGAATTAGAATTAGATCAAAATAATTTTTGAAGTTTCAGATTTCATCCATGACAACATCTCATACCATTCGATTGATTCCCAAGTTGCAGATGTGAGCCTTTCATCCAAAACATTTACAATGTTCTTGGGTTTTGTAATATCGAAACAAAAGGTAATTAATGTACACAAGTTTTGGTGCTTTATGTTTTTCTTATCTGGTTTTCTCTGTGTGTCTTTCATGTATTTGACCCTTAATTTTCATGTATTTCATTTATTGGATTGAACATAATTTTTGGATTTTGTTTTTTAGTTTCCATGAACACCAACTGTTTGACAATATGCTTCAATGACTAACATTTTCTATAAATATGTTGTAGTTGATGACTATCTTTCAACGATTTTGTTGTTGATATTCTTTTTTCTAATAGTGTATGTTCGTGTTTTCTAAAAAATATTGATTTATTTTACTCTATTGTAGGGACTTGGGTGTTATCTCTTGCATATACCATTGCCCAATTGGCTTGGATAGCAGGCAAAAAAGTCAATCGAGAAATAAATCAATAAACAAGTATTCAGTTAGGATCAACAACGATTGCATTTGCACTTCGTCTTGGGATCTTGGGAGTATTCTGTGCATTCTTGTAGTTCTTATGTGATGAGGATTTCTAATTTTAGTTATGGTGTTAATCTATTTGACCAACTGTTTAAAGTATATAATAATTAATGAAACCAAGCATGTTTTCTATTTCTATGTTTGTTTAATAAAAGTGCATAAACTTCTAAAAAAATTGTGTTGTTTAGATCTAGAAAGTGGTTATTGTTTTCTATCATTTGTTTTACTCGAATTTTATAGCGAATTTTAAGATTTTGATATGGGTTTTTTTTTTTTTTTTGAAACAGACAGGGAATGATCAGTAACATCTTCCAAGATTAAATGGAGTCTTCATTTCTGCTCCATGTAATATTACAGTTATGTTTTGACAATGTTTTATGATTTGGGGATTACTTTTCTCTTTAATGGATATTTTAATATATGTCTATGATCAACTACAGATTACACCTCCTTCGTGCAAGTTTCATGTAGTTAGTTCAGATGGCGTTGTCATTAAAGCAGCAACACTGATAGAGCTATCATTCATTTAGTACATAAGATAAAGATTAGTATATTTCTTAATGAATGTTAATGATGTAAATATTTTCAAATGTCGGATAATGATTTGTGTATCAATTTTGTGTGGGTCAAAACATGCAAAGAGATTAGGACCAGTGGAATTGGAAAGGAACACAACCCAACAATGATCGAAGACACATTGGGTAACCCACTAAAGATGCTGCCACCTTCTGAAATAGCTAAATATAAGTTAGAACATCAAATTCACGTTTTTACCCTTTTTAAAAAAAATTAACAACTAATACCATTTTACCCTCATTCAAAAGACTGGAAAAAGGCTCTAAAAGGTATGTATTATTTTTTTCTGGTCGTTTGTTACTTCAATTGCGTTCAAAAGACTGAAAAAAGCCCTCATTCAAAAGACTGAAAAAAAGGCTCTAAAAGGTATGTATTATTCTTCCTGTTTTTTTTTTGTTACTTCATGTTCCTTCAATTGCATCAATTTCTTACCTTATGTAGTTGATTTTGGATTTTCATTTGCCTACCAACTATTCAATCATTTGCTTGACTGAGTGATGGAGGTAATTTTGGAATCAAGACATGGAAATTAGTCTTTGTAAATTATTCTATATATATTTATAATTTTTTTTTGCAAAGGTTTGTGGGGACTCAATCTGTAGATGTCGATTTCTTAACTATTTCCCCAGTTTCAATCAAGTAAAATGTATCAATTTTTTTGTGATTTTGTCTGTTTTACAATTCAATTTTAGATTATTTTGTGTTTATTTTTGGATCATCTAGAACCCCTTTTATGCATAGATAATGTTAATGAATAGTTGTTTATTTTAAATTCACAACAAAGAGGTTCATATGGTCAAGAACTTCATGCTCTTAGATGAACGTACATAAGGAGATTGACTATTGTAACGATTCATCATATTATCGTGTTCTGGAATGTAGCACTTTCGCTTTCAAATGGGGAATTTTGAAAGGTAGTAATTTCATTTTTGTAAATTACATTTTTCATGTTCATGTATATATATCAATATCTTTTTCCTATTTTCTTCTATGATAAACCCTTAGCTGTTTGAGTAGAAACTTACAAAGTGATGATTTTTTTTTCTTCAGATTATGAGATTTTGCTTAGGTAATATTGTTTTGATTAATCACTTTAATATCTTTCCTGTATTTCCCTTTCAGGTTAAAAACAAAGCTCACCCTTTTTAGGATGAAGCATTTCTGATCCAAGAACAAACTCAAGAGACTTGCTCTCAAGGTTTTATTAATAATACAAGTTCCTCAGTTTCATGTAGAAATCTTAATCCTAACTCTACAACGAGCATAATTTTTTCAAAGTTTGTTTATTATATTCAATTTTATTCTATTTTTAGGGATCTTTTAATCGGCAATGATTTTTTTAGAAAGAGATGTGGACGGAAGAAGAAATAAAGAGGGTTTTATGTGAAATATAAAGGTTGATCAATTGCTAGATACATCTTGACAGATACATCTGATGTTTCATTAGTTTCAAAAGAAAAATTATGGCAATATTATGCTGTAATGCAAAGGCTTTCTTATTATGTTGCATCAAATGTGTTTCTTTTTCATTAGGTCTCCATTGATGGATGGAGTACTTTAAGTGATATGTTGCCATAACCCCAATTGGCCCATGAAGGTGATTTTAAGAAATCCATTCACGACATGTCTCATGTTTTTATAACTTCTTGATATTATATTTTCGTTCGACCTTTTATACACTGCATTAAGTAATAAAAGATCAAGATATGGAACATGAAAGTCTAAGTTTATTTCCATGGTTCCACTTGCTACTACAATCACATCACTCGATAAAAAAAATCAAGCATACTCCAACATCATGTAGTCTCTTCGTCATTGAATGCTCTGAAAGTTTCAATATTTAGTCAAATGATGTAATAATTCAAGAAACTTTGACATTATGAATAGGTTTGTTATAAATTTGGTCAAATACCTTAATTCTTGAAAAAAAAAACAAGTTAATTCAAATTCAAGTTAGCAATATGCGTGACAACCAATTAAAGATGATTAAAACTCAATCTACTTATTTATCATATGATGTTCAATTTATTAAATAAAGAAGGATACAATGTTTCAAAAAAACAGTTCGAACCGACCAGGATGAAAGTGATTCAATAACGATCAATTTTATTTCAATTTAAAATGATTTGATGAGTTTAAAAAATCATATATATATATATATATATATATATATATATATATATATATATATATATATATACACACACACACACACAATGAACTAAGGAAGCCACATTTCATTTTTTGCCAACCAACCTATATTCAATATGTTAAACCAACCTCGCTTGCTAAATCCGGATGATGAAGGAAACAAAGCATATAACTACTAACTAAATATTGTAATTTATTGTGTTTGTGTTTATGTATGTGTATTACATTGTCGTCATTTTTAATTTGTCATATAACAATGTCATTTTCATATTTGATTGTGTTTTCCCAGACTATTCAAATTTATATTGTATTTTACAAAATCATGATATTCATACAAAATGTATCTATTAATTTTAACTAATTAATAGTGTTTTTCTTTTTTACCCGTGGTTTCCACGGGTTATAACCTAGTTTATTATATATAGCATTTAGTTGCTTTTGGTACAAGAGTGGGGAAATTTTGGTAAATGAGAGGATGGATGCATGAAAATTAAGTAACAACATAAACGGGAAACAAATTTTCGTCTATATGAGTCAGATATAATGTAGTGTTTAATAATCAAAAGGGATAATAACTTAAAAGGGTAATATATTTTTTGATTTTTATAAATTTGGTCATTGAGATTTTTTTCGTTTATATTTATCTCTTCTAACTTGTTAAAGTGTACACATTAAATCCTTATGACCGACTATTTCAGATTAGCAGATAAAAATGAGTCGACAGGGTAATATATTTCTCAATTTGTACATATTTAGTCATTAATATATTTTTTTTGTTGCAAAATAAATTAACGTTGTTTTTATATTTATTCAATACTTATGAATGGTTTTTTTAGTGTTTTTTTCATGACATCTTACGTAAGGCATTCATTAATTAGGTTTTTGGGGCTTTTGATTTCTTTAGGTTTTTCTCAACTACAACTTCTATTTAGATTGCTCCCGTTAAGAAGTGATATATTTTTACTTAGAATCTTTATAGCTATATGTTTTTTTTTATGAATGCATGTATAAATGTTTTTTTTAATAAAATCGTAAGTAAAAATATATTACATTTTAACAGGAGTAATCTTAACGAAAGTTTTAGTTAACTCAAAAAACAAACACGTGGATATAAAGATCTTTAAAATATGATATCATAAGTTATGCCATTCAGAATATAAGATCTAAGCCAAACCACAAGACCTACGCAACCAAGCAGTCGAGATTGCGATGGACATAAACATCAACAACCTCAAACACCTCAATGATTGTCACATGTAAGATGTTGTGGAAAAAATCTAAAGAAATCATTTATACGTACTAAATGAGTACAAAAACAAAAATGATTTATTTTGAAATAAAAAAATATTAAAGATTAAATATGTATAAAAATAATAATGACTACATATGTTTAAAAATATTAAGGATTAAATGTGTACAAAATCTGAAATATATTATTCTATTAAGTTATTTTTCTCTAACTAACATGAAGTAATTGATCATAAGATAAACTCTACAGTTTAAAAAGTTAAATAAGTACACATGACAAGAAAAAACAGTCATTGACCAAATGTTAGAAATCAAAAACTATATTATCCTCACCTAATTAAAATTTTGATTAACCTTTTTATTTAACAGATGAGAAATGAGGATAAGGCATTTCTCTCTCTCTCTCTCTCTCTCATATGACCTCATCAACTCTCTCTCTCTCTAAAACCTCTTTCTCTTTCTCTCTCTCTGTATCCGGTTTTCCTTCATTTTTGTCTCTGTATAATCTGTATAGAGTTATCTACAGCCCAACCTGTATAAATTGATCCATTTTTCACACCCAATACTTCAGATGTGTGTTGCTTTCGTGAGTAATAGTTGCAGTGATAGCAATCAGATCCAATCCCAAGGGTTTTCTCACTGGATGGGGATCTATAACATTTCGGACTCCACCCTATTCAACGGAGGTAATCCTTGGACCAGCAGGCTGTCGACTGTTAAGGAGGAGGATGATTCATCCAGTTCTTCATCTATCGGCAAGAACAGTGACGCCGGAGGAGGTGATTCCGATGACGAAGTTCAGAGCAAGGATAATGGACCGCTGAACCAGTTAAACGACTTGGAGAAAGTCTTGCCCATCAAGTATGGCTATAATATTCTTCATTCTAACTATCGAAATTTCTAATTAATGCTGACTCTTGCAGATTGGTGTCGGTGATTGTATGTCATTTAGACATGCATGTGCGATTCCAATTGTTTTTACACCTCTTCGGTTAGAAAAAATTACTTTTTTTTTTTACAATTGAATTAAGTCTTTGATCATCAAGGTGGTGGAATTAGGTGTTTTTTGAAATGAATTGGTTGATAATCTATCTGACAAATTTTACTGAATTCAGGAGGGGGATATCGTCGTTCTATGCCGGAAAATCAAAATCATATGGAAACCTAGCGGACGCGACATCTGTTCAATCGATTCAAGACATTGTTAAGCCGGAAGATGCTTACACCCGGAAACGCAAGAACATGATTGCTCATACTGTTTTATTTGAAAAGCTTCGTAAATCCTCCACCGATAGTTCTGACGCATCAAAGCGACTTGCCAACTCTACCACAACTGGCACCCATGCTCCTTCTCTTCCACCCTTGCCCCCAAACACTATTAATGAATCATCAAATTCCTCATCTCCTTCTCCATCTCCATCTGCATCCGCATCTCCTTCTCCTCGAATGTATTATTTCCCATGGAGATCATTATCTCTCTCAGATTTGCACCATGCTTCGAGTATCACTGACTCGGTGATTAACGAAAGAGACAAGGAGGATGAGCATTAGGTGTAGCTCTGTGAATGAAGATAGAATCTGAAAAATAGTTGTTTCTGCCTTTCTGGTGTAAAGTGTTTATGTTTTTTTTTTTTTTTTTTTTTCACAATTTCTGGTCCTTCCCGTTGTCCTTCTTACAAAAAAAAAAAGGATATGGGCATTTCCAGAAATCATAGGATGTTGTTAGATGTAGTCCAAGTTGGATCAGGTTGGTGTTAAATGTTAATCAAGATGAAGAAAAGTTCAGTTTTTTTTTTTTTTTTTTTTTTTTAGAAAAATTTCTTGTCCATGATCCGATCCTCTTTTAGATCTATGATACTCTGCAAAGGCTGGTTCTTTCTTACTAGAAAATGAAACAAGCTCGGGCTAGCCCAATAAGCTAAAACAAATAGGTCTGGCTCAATCACAATATATGTTAACTCGTCGCTAAAAAAAAAAAAAAATTAGTGATTTATACATTGATGGTTCACATTTTTTACTACGAGTGTGTTTGGTTAAACTTTTTTCCTTCGAACCTTCTTTTCATAAAAAGGTCTTATTCTCGACTTGCATGTTTTGCTAATAGATTAACATGCTAATAGATGTTTTTAAAAGGAAGTATTGCATGTTTTGCTAATAGATGTTTTTAAAAGGAAGTATTTTCTTCTTGCTAAAAAACTATTTTAAAAGAACTTTAAATTCCAAACATCTTATTAAACTTTTTGATTTTTTAAAAAAGAGAAAAATAAAAAATCATTTTAAAAGTATAGCCAAACAAATTAGGGCGTGGTTTAATAGTCTTGAAGAACTGTGTAGTTGTGTACAGGGAAACAAATATTTGGTACTATGGTATGGTTGCAACAAGATTTGTCTCGAGTACACTGAATTCAAACACATGCCACATCATTTTCGGTGATATTGTTGCTCTTCCTAACCGTAGTCATCAGTTGTTTTCCTATTGATATGTGTGAATCAATGCAAGCTTCTTTACCTATATTTCATACATTCGACGTCATTGCCAACAAATTTCATGTTTCCGAATTTCCACAAACTCTATCAACAAATCTTACAAACGATATATATATATATATATATATATATATATATATATATATATATATATATATATATATATATATATATATATATATATATATATATATAGGTGGGTTCAATTGAGAAAATAAAAAAGGTTGAGAATGGAGGAATCATTCTCAACCACTCATTTAATCTTAATCTAAGCATAAAAAGATACGGTGACAAACTTGTAAATATGTTAATAACCTTCAATCTCAAATACGTATCGATAACAGTTCGTTCATCATCAAAAATTTTCCCCCAACCTTCAATAATCATCCAGATTTCTTCAACTAAACCGGAATTTCTTCGCTGTTCATTAAATTGGAATCGGAGTTCTGGACTCACAGTCACAGTCGACATTGAAGGACTCAAAATCGGTACTCACAAGTTCCCAATTGAATTTTCGGAAATCAAAATCAAAATGAGAAATCGATCAGACATAGGATGTCGCATCTGAAGTCGAAATCAGAAGTATATGATGATTTGGAATTGATAATGTTTTTAACATTTTTAAAATAGTTAAGTTGTATGCACTCCAACTGTTTGATGAAATGCATAAACTAAATTATCACGTTATATTTACATATGAATATGTTTTCTCACCTGAATCAGTATATGATTATTAAAAACACAAAACAAATATGCAAGTTTATATGTTATTCATATGTGAATAACATATAAAAATTATATATATTTGTCAAAATACCTTCAAATATTCATAAATGAATATATTCACAAGTGAATATACCTTGTAATATTCATATGTGAATATACTGTATAATATTCATAAATGAATATATCATATAATATTCACAAGTGAATATAGCATGTAATATTCACATTTGATATACCATGGAATACTATGTAATATTCACATATGAAATATTATTTAATACTCATAAGTGAATATATCATCTAATATTCATAAGTGAATATACTATGTTAATATTCACAAGTGAATGCATCGTCCAATATTAAAATATGAATATACTATGTTTATTATATGTTATATTCATATATAAATGATACTTAAATTGTAAAAAAAAAAATCATACTTTTTATTCATAAGTGAATAACGAATGTACTGTAATAAAACCTGATACATTTTTATTCACTTATGAATAATGATAGCTGAAAATATAAAAAAATAAATTTTTTATTTTATCTTAAAACTATATCAATATGAATGTCTATTTGTAGAGAATAAAAAACCATGAATTTTGGTATATTTAAAATCATTTTTTGAAAAAAATAGCTTCTAAAAATTAAAAAAAAACGAAAAAAACTATGTTTTTGTATATATATTAAGGTAATGATTAACATAGTTTAAGGAAAATATGTTTCGTTAGAAAACAAATGTGCATTCCTTTCCCATTTCCACCGGTACGTTGGACGCTTTTGCGTCAAAAATAAATGATTGGTTGAGAATGATTCTCCATTCTCAACATTTTTTTTCTCAATTGAACTATATATATATATATATATATATATATATATATATATATATATATATATATATATATATATATATATATATATATATATATATATATCCTATTATTTTTTTTAACAAACCACAATACATTTTTACCCTTTTTGTAAAGAGTGACATTTATAATAAAAGTAAAGTAAATTTTTGAAAAAAAAAAAAACACTTTCACCTTTTTGTAAATGCCAAACAAATTTATATTAAATTAAATGCCGAGACTTTTTATTATATTTATTGACCAAACATACTCGATATTGACCTTTTTCATAAAACCATAAATAAAATTCATAAAATTTTAGAGAAAACATGTTCATACTGAATGTGTTCATGAGAATATTTTAATGGTGCGTTTTATCAATTTACATTTTTTCATATGTAAACGCAATGGATTATAGTAAATATTTAAATAAAAATTATACAAGTGGCGGAGTCAATTTTCGAGTTCGAAGTGAGCCCATGAAAAAAGCTGTCTATGCCAGTATGCCACCTTAGCCATGGACCCATTATGGGGGAAATTTGGAGTCCATTTCTTAAACCTTTGCAAATGCTCTAAAAATCCCAAACAAAATTGACCCCACAAGAAGATGGTGATGTGTCTAGAGGAATGAAATGATGTTGTCAGAGATAGAGAAAGCACATCTCAGAAGTTGCAACGTGAGTGCTTGCTTGATCACAACAAAAATATCTAATTTTCTAAAAAGTCGGTTTCTCATTCAACTCAAACCTAGGTCTTATCAGATAAAATTGTCCTTGTATGTTTGTCCTAACAGTAAAGATATGAGAATCTATAAATGATTTTTTTTTTTTTTTTTTCTTTTTAGGATCTAGTCACTCTAATGGCATTCCATTTCGACACTAGATCCTAAAGTTTTTAAAATTTAGGATGTGATGTTTGGTATTTCAAAAAAAGAACAAATGAACAAATAGTCACTAACAAACCCGCATACCAACTACCGATTACAAGTAATAACATTCGCTTTAAAGGATTAAAAAAGACTCTACTACAGCTTCAAAATAGACTCAACAAGCTCATATAAAGGTGCAAGCTCACCCTGATCAATCAACCGAAATTCCTACACAATACATAAACCATTAATCAATCATACAAACACAAGAAAGATTCTTCTGTCAAACTCATAATCATGTAAGTAGTAATGAATAATGATTGATGACTCACCCATGTGAAGAGGACAAAATGCTTGAAACACGTATTAAGATGAGCTTCTTCTTTCAAACTCATAATCATCTGAAAATGCGAATGATAGATATGAGCATAAACCCTAAACAACCGCTTGAACACCGTCTTCACCACATCCAGGAAATAGTGAGGAAATGGAGCACCTATAATTATAAAAAACATAAGCGACATCAAATAACAAAAGTATAAAACTATTTGGATTTATATTTGGTAACAATATTGATTATCATTTACCAAGTCTTTGAGGGAATATTGATTCGTTATCAAGTTGAGTTTCGATCCATTCCATTAAATACTCCACGTATTTAGGAGCAGATACTTCTATGGGTTTCTTAATAGTAACTCCATCCGCCCACCTGTACTCATATCTGTAAATAAAAAATACAAAAAATAAATGTTTGAACCATTGTTGATGCTTAATATAACATCTTGAAAAAAAAAATGAAGGATTAGGCAACATACTTTGCTCCAGCTGTCATTGTTGGACATGTTGATGGTGTGCAGAATTCAGTAAGAGTGCCATAAAGGAGATTCACTTGATTAAAGAAATCAACAGCTGCAAAATTATATATATATAAAAAAAAGTTATGGGTAATTCAAAATCAAAGACTCAAGAACATAGAATCATGTCATAAATTATTACCATTTATTGCGAGCCATTCGTTGAGATCTTCTCCAGGGGGTAGGCGAACAGCTTCACGCAAATTTCCACTACCCAAAGTTGCATCTATGTGTTTTTTAAGTTGTGCACCCTAAATTCACCGAATCGAATGAGTTTGACTTTGACCAAAGGGAATAGATATGGGAAACACTGAGAAATTTTATAAAAGTTTTGTAGGTAACAAACCTTACTTCCTGATGGAGCGCTCTTTTTTGGTCGAAAAGTCTTCTGATTTCTGCAAATACAGAAGGATAGACATGAGTTATATGAGATTGAAGAAGATTAAGCTTACTATTTAGCTAAAAAGTAAAAAATACATGTATGACTGAAGTGATCAGATCATGTAAGGTGGAAACTTATTTGATTTAGATCCACACATAGTTTATACAATAATACAAGTCCAACATATGGATATAAACAGATCAATCAAAGTTATAAATTACACCATCAACGTCCAGTTTCAGTTTCTCTTGATATATTAAAAGTTGACTTCTTGTAACTTTATAACTGATAAGAACATATTGAAGTTCAAAAACTTCTATTACAGTTCTAGTTTGTGAAATTGATGGCAGTAAGCAGCATATATACTGTATGAATCTCAGTTATTTCCAGCACAAAGACCTCATGCGTGTATGTGTAATTGTTAGCTTTGAAATTTGTAGGCTAACAAGTCACTTCCCTAAAAGATACACTAGAATTTCCAAAAGAAATCTGTACGTTATCACTTTTCACTGAATATACCTTAATTGCAATCAAATTGCCTAATATAAATCGAGTTCTAATAATGATTCACACTTATGTTTGTTAATTAATTATGACTAGAGAAAAACAACGTAATTAGTTAGATTTGTGTTGGTTAATCTGATTAAAATATCTGTTTGAGTATAAGGAGACGTGAATCTACTGTCATCAATAATTAATGAATATATATATATATATATATATATATATATATATATATATATATATATATATATATATATATATATATATATTCAAACTCAAATAAACTCAAATTCAAGCAACCGACAGTTGGATTGATGAAACATACAGCCAACACAACGAATCAATCGTTATCGAAAAATGCAAAAAAGCTGAAAGCGAAATCGAAATACCTGCTGCCGAGGCCAAAGAGACTCATGGCGATTTAGGGTTTCGAGTACGTTTTGTGCGTGTTTGCGTCCCGCGTATATATATACATGAAGCAAGAAGAAAGAGGGATGTACCAGGTCGATTTTTTGCCATTGCCATCTTGAGCTTACCTGTCATGGCCGATTCTGCCGCCAACGCCAACCTTTCCATTTTATAATTTACACTTTCGTCCTTTAACTATTGGATTTCTTCGCCTCCACTCCATAATGAAAGAAAGCGTGAAAGTTGCTAACCCTGTTCTTTAGGCATGTTTAACTTCATGTTCTTAGAGAAATTAAATTGCTTCCTATTTTTTATGCCTACAAATGTTCCTACCCAATAAAATTATAACAAGTGTCATCATTTCATATTTTTTTAACTAACTCATTAAGGCTATATTAGGAATATATCAATTACAATTAAATTGATTGATGATTTATCATAATTTTAGTGGTTAGGAATAATTGTAGGCATAAAAGGTAGGAGGTAATTTAATTTCTCACGTTCTTAGTAACCATTTCTAAATCCTGTTCTTAATAACCATTTCTTATGTATAAATTTAGTGTTATCCTTTATGGTCCTTATGGATATCCTTAAAGTTTGATATTATGGTTCGTTAACGTAAAATCTGGTGATAAATTTCAACTTTTTTTTTTTGGGTTTTTAAAATTTAAATTTATAGATATCTAGTTTATTTTGAGTTAGTTTATTATATTTTTGTATTTTAAATTTAATATTTTTAACTATATATTTTTAATAATGTAGTATTTGATATAATATGAATTAATTACAAAAATTGGTATTGTTATATTTATTTAATGATATAACAAGATGTATGACAAAAAAAAATCTAATAAATATAAGGATATTTTTTAAGATCTTAAATAAATCAAAAAATATACACATTCAAATGATTTTATAAAAAAAAAAAAACAGTATAGAAAAGGTATGGATTGGAGATGAATCATTATTTATATTTGGTTTTTTTGTGTAAAAAAATGATTTTAGAATTGAAGATGGTTTTAATAAAACATATAACAACCAAAGTTGACAATAACATTGAGCAGGGTCAAGCCAAATAATACAAAGTTTTGGCTTGGATCAAATCGCTCACACCCTAATTGAAATTAGGGGTGTTTAAAATATCCGAAAAAACGAACCTAATAACCGACAAATTGTATTCATTTTCCAGGTTAATCGAACCATTCAAATTGTTCATTTTTTTTCAATTGTGACGTATGTTTTTATCTTGAACAGTTAACCTAAAAAACGAATTTCTTTTATTTTTAGGATGATGAACTTTACAGTTAATACCATATTTATTTTTCATATGGAATTATCAATTAACATTGCTATTAACAATTATCAATTTAAAGTCACAATTAACATTTATGTTTTAAATTCACATTTAACATTTATGCTTCATTATAATATATATGACTTACATGCCTGATATTATGCTCATATTATCATACAAACATATAATTTTAATATCAAAAGAAATTTAAATTAAAGAAACTAAATTTCGTGCACATTTCAAACTATATTGTTTATTGATAACTAAACAACGATCGACGACGATGTTATTTACATATTTAATTTTTTTTTTGTTATGATTGATGATGTGTGTTTATACTTTAAACATTGAGCTTTTTGGATTATCCTTTTGGAAAACTCATATCAAAAGGTTATCCTTATTTTACAAATTACTTATATAGTTTGTTAATTGTGGTATAAATTGTTAATTAGTAAATGGTTTACTAGTTCTCTGTATAAATATGACCAAACTGAAAAACAGATAACCAATTTTTTTAGTTCAAATTTAAATTCAAAAGATTAAGAAAACCGTTGTTAACCTCTAAAATGCTACTTTAATGACTTAACTCTCCATGAGCACCTCTAGCAATTGTTTTTGGAAAAAAGAAAAGCGTTAAAACTGTGAACTTTTGTGCAATTGAGTGTTCATCTTATATCATTTGCAGATTTATGCTTTTTAACATATATGAATCTATTTTAATAAATCAAGTTTCATATCTTAATCTTTTATTAGTTTTGACGGTTGTCTATTGTTTATGATAATTTTTGAAATAAATAATATATACATGTTAATTATTGTTTTTTTTTTTCCATATTTTGAAATTAAAAAGTCACATAATACTTTTATATATATATATATATATATATATATATATATATATATATATATATATATATATATATATATATATATATATATATATATATATATATATATATATAGGTTCAGGTTCATTTGAGACCATTTTAATTTTTTGAGACTGTGAGACCAAATCTAAAAATAATTTTAAAATGCAAAATAAATGGAAAAATACAAAAATTCTTTTTTTAAATATTATTTTCGAAACTTAAATTAACTAAAAAAAATTTTAAAAATTTTTAAAAATAAAAAAAATAAAAAAAAATTCCGTTTTTTTTTTTAAAAATACGTGAAATATTCTAAATAGAATATTACACTGACATATTCTAAAAAATAATTTTAAAATGCAAAATAAATAGAAAAATCAAAAAATTCTTTTTTTAAATATTATTTTCGGAACTTGAATTAACTAAAAAAAATGAAAAATAATAAAAAAAATTCTATTTTTTTTTGAAAAATACGTGGAATATTCTAAATAAAATATTGCATTGTATATATTCTAAAAATAATTTTAAAATGCAAAATAAATGGAAAAATCAAAAAAAATTTCAGAACTTGAATTAACTAAAAAAATTAAAAAAAAATAAAAAAATGTGTCTCACGGTCTCACAAAATTAGGTCGTCTCACATGAACCTAACCCTATATATATATATATATATATATATATATATATATATATATATATATATATATATATATATAGTAGTTTATAACCCGTGGGAACCACAGTTACAAAATAAATTAAATTTTCATAATAAATTTAAAAATTATTTGTTAATTATTTTAAATAAATCATTAATTAAGAGATATACCAAAATTTTAAAGTTATTATAACTTACAAAATAACACATAATTAGAAAAAGTAAATTTGAATTTTGAAGTGTTGCCTAATATATCTCTTTGACATGTGGCATAATATTAATCAGGAGTTGTATTAGAATAACACATGTTAAATGGAGATTAAAATATTCTTTTATTATATATATATATATATATATAGAGAGAGAGAGAGAGAGAGAGAGAGTAGAGTTCAATTGAGAAAAAAAAAAGGTTGAGAATGAAGGAATCATTCTCAACCAATCATTTATTTTTGCCGTAAAAACTTCCAACGTACCGGCGGAAATGGGAAATGAATGCACATGTGTTTTCCAACAAAACATGTTTTCTTAAACTATGGTAAGCATTACCTTAATATATACAAAAACATAGTTTTTTTATTTTTATTTTTAAGAAGCTATTTTTATCGAAAAATGATTTTAAATATGCCAAAACTCATGATTTTTTATTCTTTACAAATAGACATCCATATTAATATAGTTTTAAGATAAAATAATTTTTTTTATATATTTTTAGCTATCGTTATTCATAAGTGAATAATAATGAATAAGGTTTTTACTACAGTACATTCGTTATTCACTTATGAATAAAAACTATGATTAATTTTCTTTTACAATTTAGGTATCATTCATATATGAATATAACATATACTAAACATACTATATTCATATTTAAATATTAGACGATGCATTCACTTGTGAATATTACATAATATATTCACTTATGAATATTATATGATATTTTCATATGTGAATATTATATAGTATTACATGGTATATCACATGAGAATAGTACATAGTATATTCACTTATGAATATTAGATCGTATATTCACTTATGAATAATAGTTGGTATATTCATATGTGAATATTGCACAGTATATTCATATATGAATATTACAAGGTGTTTTCAGAAATATATATAATTTTTATATGTTATTCACATATGAATAACATACGGACTTGCATATTTGTTTTGTGTTTTAATAATCACATATTGATTCAGGTGAGAAAACATATTCATATGTGAATATAGCGTGGTAATTTAGTTTATGCATTTCATCAAACAGTTGGAGTACATACAAGTTAACTTTTTTAAAAATGTGATAAATATGATACTTTGACTATTTAAATCTTACAAAATAGTAGATTAGTAGAGAAATATATGAAAATTTTCAAACAAAAATGATTTATCTTTTCAACCTTAATTTCGATGTTTTTTTTATGAACGATGTTGAATGAATG